TAAAATTTCTCGATTGCGGTGTTTGTAGAATTTCTCCATGCGCTGTGTCTAATCTCGTTGCTTACTTTGTTCTTAAAATAATGATATGGATTTATTATTGTTGTATTTTTTTTCCCTTTTTTTTAACATTCCCCTATTGCACAGTATAGTTTCGTGTCTTGCACATTGTATCTGGATTTGTGTGCTGACTTGCACATTAGCATCCTTTGTTGTTGCACATCAATAGACAACTACTGTTGCATGAAACATAATAAAACTTAATTGTTACATTGGTATATTAACTTCGCAACAACGAAACATCGTAGGTTGCACATAATGGTCTCCCAAATTCTTACCGTGATGCATTAACTATTGCTACGTAGGTGCACATAAGCATAACAAGTAAAAAATTATTTAGCCAACTTCAGGTTACTTGTAATTACACTTAACATTGCATTACTACATACACCGTCGATGCACATACCGGTTCTGTCAGTTATATCGTATTTGCACAATGTCGTACACCAATGCTGCACGAATTCGAAATGTAGAATATCAATTCCTCGTTAACAAGAAATTACATACACATTCACATATTCACAGGGACAGATGCATAGAAACACGAAACTATTCCTATGCACAGCCACTAGTCATTTTTCTGCACAAATATATACGGTTACATACACATTCACATATTCATCATGTTCTTGCACATTATGCCCTTCTCTAAATCCCTAAACTACACAATGTCGTTTTTTACACTCCAATACAGACCATTTCTTCAATCATTTTTCTGCTGCCTATCATCTACCCAGTTTTTACCTCCCCTAATAACACATAACATAAACCTGCAAACACAAAACTGCTTAGGAAACACCAACTCTGTCCTCGTCAAGAGCCCCCTACTTCGCACCCTCAATTCGTAATAACTCCAAAAAAAAAAAAAAAAAAAAAAAAAAAAAAAAACTGAAAACAGTAGTGCAATGTTGCTCTTATGCATGAAGGATTATTCAACTTGGCAACATCCACACCCATGTTCGCCCAGTTTTTATTATCAAAAAATAAAAAGAAAAAATAAAAAAACCATACAATACCACTGTCTCTGGTCATTCTTCCCGTAAACCACCCCCCGTTCCCACCGTCGATTTGCCTAACTCCTTCTCCGGCGACATTACATCAAAGTCCGATGAAGTTGCGGCCATCAACACCCAGTTTTCATCAATTTTATTTATTCCTTTAAAAAAAAACCCACTCTAAACCAATATATTCGAGCATGGAATTGCACAGACATGCAATACACTTGTGCAGATAATCGATCAAAACAAATACAATTCTTTTAAAAAAAAAAATCCCTTACGCAGTCTACTCGTTGCCTCGATCAACGCACGCCACTGACTCCTTCTTGCTGTTCCGTCCGCCATAGTTTCCCATTCTGTACTCGCCCCTACAACTTCACCTAATCATCGTTCATTCCTTCTGCTCCCACTATGTTGACTGCCTTCCCTATACTTCCACCGTTTAAACCCTACGCGTACAGACCCATACTCTTCAGTCTTTCCTTCCTATTCTTGCACGATCATTAATCCATTTACCCTTTTACCCCCATTTTAATTACTCCTTCAGTACTTGACAAATTTAATGACCTTTTAATTTCTCCTATTGTGCACTTACAGCCGTTAGATGGCCAGATCTGATGGTTGGAATTTGACCACAATCCTCACCTAACACAATAGCCTCACTTGAACCTCACCCTATATATATATATATATATATATATATATATATATATATATATACACACACACACACACATACGAAGATAATAAATTAATAAAAACTTACGGCCTAGAATTGGATTCGAGTCAAAATCCATGACAAAATTTGGCTAGCACTCTTTAAGCAATCGTTATACCCTACACTACGGCGCACATAGCACTGTGCGCCGCGCGCCTCCCAAAACGACGTCGTTTTGGGGTCATTTTGAGAGGCGCGGTAGGAAGTTGCTGGGATTATGTGTATTTGTTCACACAGTTATGTGTCTTTGCTCATACAGTTATGTACATTTTTTATACAATTATGTACATTCTTTTTATACAATTATGTACATCCGAATCAGAAAATTTGTGTGTATTATGTTAATAGTTGATGTGTATTATGTTAAAAGTTTATGTTTATTATGTATTATGTTAGATTATGTGTATTATCTTTTTAAAAGAGTATGTATATTTTGTTATATAATTATGTACATTCATGTATACAATTATGTGTATTCTAGTATAACATTATGTACATTCTTGAACAGCGGGTTTTTTTTTTTAAAGAAAAAACTACTGCCATTCACTGGGGCGGGAAATTTCAAAAAACAAAAAAAAAAAAATTAAAACGACGTCGTTTTGCATCTGGACGCATAGTGCAACGCGCGCCGTGGTGTAGGATATAAATTGCCTTCTTTAAGGGCAAATTATGCTGTGCATCCGTAAGCACCATGCATGGTGCATACGGATGCAAAAACGACTTCGTTTTAATAAAACGCGCGTCTCCCCTTAAAAAAAAAAATCAGGTTCGACTCCCAGCAACAACATATGAACTAAAATTCCATACTCGATGAACTATAATTCCATAATCGATGAACTATAATTCCATAATCGATGAACTATAATTCCATAATCTAATCTATGAACTAAAAATTCCAGAATGAATGAACTAAAATTCCATAATCTATAAACTAAAATTTCAGAATCGATGAACCACAATTCCATAATCGATGAACTATAATTCCATAATCAATGAACTATAATTCCATAATCTATGAACTAAAATTCCAGAATGAATGAACAATATAATGTTGTTGTTGGGAATCGAACCTGAATTTTTTTTTTAAAGGGGAGACGCGCGTTTTTTAATAAAACGACGTCGTTTTGGCATCCGTATGCACCATGCATGGTGCATACGGATGCACAGCATAACGATTGCTCTTTAAGTATATATGGATTAGACTCATATAAAAACTTATTCCCAAGAAAAAAATAAAAAACTAGAAACTAATTTTAGCCGTTCATCTAGTTATATTTAATAGTTCTAGATCAATGAGTAAAAAATGTAATAATATTTTTATAGTTCTTTTAATTTTCCTCCTCTTCAAGTTCTTTTAATTTTAAAAGTACATTTTGCAACACTATATTGTACATTTTGACTAATATGAAGCGCAATGCACTTAAAGTTCACTTTTTAGAATTTATGATTTAGAATTTATATGCCTTTCAAAAAGAATTTATGATTTATGATTTAGTTTTTTTTTTTTTGGTGATATTTATGATTTAGTTTTGGTTTAGTTTAGGATTTACTTTTTACTATTTAGGATTTAATATTTATGGTTTAGGTTTAGGCTCTAATGCTTTATCAATAAATGTACTCTATAATGTTAAAATCTAAAGGATCTAATTCAATTTGAGGGTATATACATATAAAATTCGGTTCATATGAGAACCACGTACTCCCTAGATGAGAACTTGTGGATAAATTAAAACCATCGATCTGCAAGATCTAATGGATATGAAATCAAGTAAAAAAGGAGTGATATATATATATATATATATATATATATATATATATATATATGTCTCTCTCTCTCTCTCTCTCTCTCTCTCTCTCTCTCACACACACACACACACAATATATATATATATGTGTGTGTGTGTGTGTGTGTGAGAGAGAGAGAGAGAGAGAGAGAGAGAGAGACATATATATATATATATATATATATATATATATATATATATATATATATCCAAATTGACAATACATGTAATATTGTATTGTATTTTTTTTTTTTAGATTTTATAGACAATATATGTTACATATACAAAATTGTCAATAAATTTTAATTTGAAAAATCAATCATTGTTCTTTCTTTTTCTTTATTTGTCTATGGATTCATGTATGATGAAATTTTTACCAAACATATATCACATTATTTATTACCACATTCAAATATCAACATGATAAACAAAAAACAACAGTTGCAATATAGAATGTACACCTTAATACATCTGACATGGTTAGCTAAAACATACACATCACAACACATACAATTGTAATGCACTATTCCGTCCAAATCATTACACGGGCAATTGTTATGCCGTGGAACACAACGCCGTTTGGTAATTTTAGAGTAACGGTGTCGTTAGTGGCACCGTTTTTCTCCACTAATCAGATTTAAAAAAATTGTCAAAACAACTCAGCGACATCAAAAATAGAGTTCAAAAATTATGAACATAGAGTTATGTAATTTTGAATATAGAATTCAATAATTGTGAATATGAAGTTAAAAAATTGTGAACATAGAGTTCTATAATTATGAACATAGAGTTCAGTAATTATGAACATAGACTTCTAGAGTTCAAAAATTATGAATATAGAGTTCTATAATTGTGAATATAGAGTTCAATAATTGTGAATATGGAGTTCAAAAATTATGAACATAGAGTTCTATAATTATTAACATAGAGTTCATTAATTATGAGCATAGACTTTCTAAAGACAAACGCCATTAATGGTGAAAGAAAGTAATTTTTTTTCAATTGACACGGCGTCGTTTTGGAACCGTGTCCATCTTGCAAGGTGGACACAGTTCCACAGCATAATTTGCCTTACACGGGTACCACACCTCACAATCACCATACATGTGAATTGATAGTGTTATTTGACACATTTGCCCTTTTTCAAATAATTACTCTGTAAAAAAATCCTAATTTAGTGAATTATACTTTTAGTTAATAATGGTGAGATCATAACTTTTGATTACTAAAGATGGAGAGCGTGAATTTTCCCACACTTTTTACCGGAGAGATGTTATATATGTGCCAAAAATGGAATTCAATTTTCAAATGAATTGAGTATTGACCCTTCCCAATGCCAAAATGCAAGTTAATAAAGTTTGGAGCTACATTCTTTTATTTTGTATTAATTACAAAAAACAACATTAGACTGTAAGAAATTATAGTTCATATATGCAACAATAGTGCAGACAAGTAAGAGCACTAAAATGTAAATGGTTTACACCAATCTTGTGTTTATTGGTAATGGAGCTGTTGTCCTTTAATTTAGAAGGATAGATGCCTCTAAAAGTTGGAAAAAGAAAAAGAAAAAAAAATTAAATCTGCTACATCCATGAGAGAGTCATCTCTCCAAAAGAGTAAAACCAAACCTTATATTGGTTGGGTGCAATGAAATTAACTAGAAAGGCAAAAGTAAAACAGACAAACAGAAAGATTATGATGATCATAACTCTAACCCCTCTCTATCAAGACTCCTCCTCAGCTCCTCTGTATTCTTCTGAGTTAGTTATCATAGCTGGCTGTTGTTGCTCGCTCCAGTGAAAGGCCGACGACCAGTTTCAACTCGATCTTAAACCGTGTAATGCTGCTGGATGGTTTCGATATCCAACCCTTTAAGCTTCACCACTGACTCAACATGACCCTTAAGAGTGTGCAACTCCCGAAGCCTAATTTGACATTAAGGTAAATGCAATAAGATGAGTGTTTGAGCATGCATTCTGCAGTTTATATATGTTGGGCAGAGGCCGGTAAAGGGCCAAATCTAACACCCTGCCTCTTGAAAATGTGTGGCGATATAAAGAAATAAAGTTGCGCTTTCACTACCAGCTATAGCTTTTGGCATAGTGATAAGCGTTTGATCCTAACAGGTATAAAGTAACATTATTCCATACCTGGCCATCTCAGCACGCCTCTTTGCTTGCTCCGCGATTTCAGATAGTTCCCTGTAGCTGTTCTTCTCGTTGAAGACGTTTGATGCCTCGGGTGGTTGAAGGCCATGAAGAGTCCTTTGAGCAAGAGCCCACTGAGCTTCCCTCTCCTCTTTGCCGTAGTCTTTCTTGGTTGTGAAGGCAGTCTGAACAGAATAGCAGCAGTTTGATATTTATTACACAAACAAACAATGATGGAGAAGAAGAAAGTTAAAGTTCTCCAATGAACTAACTACCTACCTTGTTCTCCAGCATGTTAACCCAAGCCTTTCCACTCAAGATGTATCGGATGGCAAACTTCATCAAGTCAAGTGGCACATAGAAAACAATGCTGTAAAGCCACACCACACCAGCCCATCCCCACCCACATCCCTGTATTCTTGCAAATCCCCAGTTTGCATATACAGCAATCAAAGTAGCAACCTGAAATAAATATTGCGATAAGTTTCAGGGACGTAGTAAAAGCACAAACTGGCACACATAGTGTTGGGTGGAGGCCGGCAAGGACAAGTCCAGCACCCTGGCTGTCTATAAGAAAATAAAGTTGCGTCTTTGCTACTATCTAAAGCTTTTGGCATAGTGGTAACAGTGCATTAAAGGAACAAAAAAAGTACTTACCAGTTGTGCAATGGCAAAAGCGACGACCAATAGAAGTCCAGGTCGTTCAACAAAAGACCAGCTGCGGGAGCGAGTAACAAAAATTAGAGCCTGGCTCACAGTACTGACTTGGAGGTATAATGCAGCCATCATTTCCTCTTCATTGTGCCTAATGGATCTTACTCCAAACTTATCCTGTGAATAACCAAACCAAAGGAAAAGAGAATAAATTAATCGCCAATAAATCAGTCACCCAATCAAAATAAATAAGAAATTAGGATTGCGCCTTACAGAGAAGAAGTCAGTATCATGCATAATCCAGAAGAAAACAACAGTCATCAGTGCAAGGTAACCTCCAAGAACAACACCAGTTGCAAAAATTTCTTGCAGCTTCCAGCTGTCAGGCATTGGCGATGGTTTCACTCGATCCTTTGAGATTGTCATAATGGTTCCTGCAAAGAAACTCAGATTCAACTAGTCTGACGTTGGGTACATACGAGGGGGGAATGGGATTAAATATTGTTGGGCATAAATCACAATACATATAAGGATATATGATTATTAACTAATAAAGGCAGATTCAAGAAGAAACATGGAAGGTACCATCGTTTAGTATTGCAATGATCAGAACCATAAAGGCTGAGAAGTCATATTTCCATATCAAAGCAATAAGCATGAAGCCAAACTGCAAAACGAGCAGTCACTGGCATAAGAAATGAAATAATGGCAACAAAGTGGAGGATAGGATATCCAATTTCAAAAGAAAATATTCAACATACCACAATACGTATTGTGATGGATACCGCATATATCTGTTAAAATAGCGAGTACATAGAGAAGTTAGACTAATAATAGGTAAAATTTCAAAATTCTGAAGGAGTTGAAGAATGGAAACTTACAGTGTAGTTCTTCATCCTCTGGAAAATAGCCCTACTAGTCAAGACTGCACTGATAATAACACTTAACCCGGGTTCAGTAAGCACAATGTCAGAGGCGCTTCTCGCAGCATCAGTAGCATCAGCAACTGCAATTCCAATATCTGCCTTCTTTAGAGCGGGAGCATCGTTTACTCCATCACCAGTCATTCCAACAATGTGCTTCCTCTCCTGCAACTTCTTCACTATTTCATACTTGTGCTCTGCAGAACAAGGGTAAAGATAAATCGATTTGTTTTTCCCAATAGAAGATATGAGATTGTAAATATTCCATGTAGTAGTAACTATTGGGCGGAGGCCGGTATAGGGCCAAGTCCATCAATTGGTGACTAGGGGGATTGTTGGGCAGAGGCCGGTGAAGGGCCAAGTTCAGCACCCTGCCTCTCAAAAATGTGATGACGGTTTATAAGGAAATAAAGTTGCGCCTTCGTTACTAGCTATAGCTTTTGGCATAGTGGTTAGCGTTTGATCCTAACAGTAACAGTGGTATAGTTGGTCACCAACCTGGAAATACACCAGCAAAACCATCTGCCTTCTCTATCAATTCTTCCACTGGAAGGGCAGCAATAGATGCATCCTTGTGTTGACCAAGTAAAGAAGCAGATGGGTACATGTTAGTTCCCATTCCAAGTCTACGGCCAGTCTCTTTACCAATTGCAAGTTGATCACCTAAAAGACAATGAACAAGAATTTGAATTGCAATATATAGTTAGTCAAATGAAGACATTGATGATGGATGATTTCACTTCACAGGAAGTTGAATAAGTTTATTACCAGTAATCATTTTCACATTTACACCAAGGTTGAGAGCCCTGCGAATAGTCTCAGCACTATCATGTCTGGGAGGATCAAAGAGGGGTAGCAATCCAACAAATTGCCATGGGCCACCTGGACTCTCTTTTGATTTCTCAGGCACTTCCTGGGAATATAAAAGTATTAGTAAAGGTGATTATGATGCACCTTCATTTGCACCCAAGAATGTGTAAACGAATGCATTCTGATGTTGGAATTCCAAACCTGTCTAGCTACAGCCAATGACCTCAGGCCCCGTTCAGCATACTTATCAATCACAGAATGAACCTTTTTCCTTAGGTCTTCCCTGGCATTGCAGAGGTTCAACATCTGATGCAATAAAAGAGAAAAACAAAAAAAAAATTAGCAACATCATTTTTCGGTAACTTGGAATTCATATACAAAGTTAATAGCCAAAGGGGGAAAATGTGAAAATGAGAGCCCACCTGTTCAGGAGCACCTTTGCTAACCCGATGCCAGTTGCCTTGATCATCAATGTAAGTTAAAGCAGTCCTCTTGTCCACTGGATTGAATGGCAGGAAATGAACCTCCCGAATGCCAGCTCGTGCCTAACATTGAAAGTACATTGAGAATGAGTGTACTTTCTAATATTTTAATTGTTGAAAGCCTATGAAGATGTAAGAAAGAAGGGCATTTACCTCCTTTGGATCAGCAAGCATCCCAACCATGGCAGCATCAATAGCATCCTGATTTTCAGTTCTAGAAGCCCTGGCAGCAAAGAGGACCACTTGCTCTTTGTCGACACCTTTTGCAAACACCTCAATTAAGTTCTTATCCACGCTCAACTTGTTAAGAGTTAACGTCCCCGTCTTATCACTGCAGAGAACATCCATGCCGGCCATTTCCTCAATTGCAGTCATTCTCTTAGTGATGGCACCCTGCTGTGATAGCCTATGGGATCCAATAGCCATCGTGACAGACAAGACAGTGGGCATAGCAATGGGAATGCCTCCGATTAAGAGAACAAGGAGGTTGTCAATCCCGTCCCTGTACTTCCTATGCTGAATTGGATACATGACAATAATCTCGGCTAGCATACCCACTGCAATGGAACAGATGCAGAAGTTTCCAATGGCAGTGAGCACTTTTTGGAAGTGCCCCACTTGGTTGGTGCTGTCGACAAGATGTGCTGCCTTTCCAAAGAAAGTATGAACCCCGGTAGCAATGACAACAGCTTCAATCTCACCTTGTTTGCATGTTGAACCAGAGAAAACTTCCTCACCAGGACCCCTGGTCACGGGGAGGGATTCTCCCGTAAGAGCAGACTGATCAACCTTCAATGCATCACCTTCAAGAAGACGAGCATCAGCAGGAATGATATCTCCCAATTTGATACTTACAATATCTCCTGGAACAAGAATCGATGCTTCTTGTTCACTCCATCGACCATCTCTAAGCACCTATTGCATCAAAATGTTGAAGTCGATTATTTTACAGTAAGAAACAATGATAAAATCTATGATCTTTGTTCTACTATGTTGACCAGGGTCACTCTGGACACCACGAAAGCTTGGATGCCAGCAACTGGGTGAACACAAAGTGGACCGAATAGGCTTTAATACCATGTTATAATCAAAGATTGGACCAAAGTCACTCAACTGAGCTATATTTTCAATATGGAACTCTTAACAGACTAGAAATAGAGATTTCGAAGTTATTAGAATCAAGTCCAAATATCTATATCATCCCTATGTGACTACTGCAACAAAATCACAAATGATGCAAAACTAAGAAATTAAAGCTCAAATGTTACAAGTTTCTATACCTTGGTCTTAGGTGCAAGTCCAGCCATAAGAGCTGCAGCAGCATTTCCAGCATTGTTCTCTTCAATAAAACTGATGGTTGAGTTGATGACAAGCAAGCAAACAATACCAACAAAGTCTTGCCAATCTGGGGGTTTCCCATCACCATTTGCCAGCGCAATTGCCATAATAGCTGCAGCTTCCATAACCCATGAAAGTGGATTCCACATAAAGCCAAGGAACTTCAGTACCTTGCTTTCCTGTATTCCCCAAACGTAGTGTTCACCATTAATTACAATAATCTTGGTACTACTTAAACCTCATGAAATGTATATGCAGTAATTATTATAAACAAGAATTTACAGCACCTTTTTTTCTTCCAATTTGTTGGGACCAAAAATTTGAAGCCTGTTGGCCCCTTCGGCTGATGTCAGACCCTCTCGAGTACATTTCAGTTGCTCGAACACTTCCTCGATTGGGATTTTCTCCTACAATCCGTAATTAAAAAACATCAATCACTCAACACCCATGTACAAACAATCATTATTTCATTGAACATGATCCGCGCAACTGTGTGAACCATAAATAATAAGTACATTTTTAATAAAAGTTACACATCCAAAACCTCGTTGTAATCCTTGAAAAAAACAAATGTCAACATATTTTCACCTAACCATTCATAACATTGATTTATACTTATAAAATCTTATATGTCATATCATTATCACATAAAATAAATAATAAAAATCCCTTGTCACTTAGGTATAGTAGCTCATTGATGATTGATCTAACCTTAAATTTTCTCTATTACCAAATAACTCTCAAAAATCTCCAACTAAGTTTACATTACATTAAATTGGATAAATAACGGTTCCCAAACCTCAGCAAAGAAAAAAAAAAACAAAAAACAAAAAAAGCAAAAAACATTATTTCGCCAATCACAGGTATTCTACCCCACGTGCAAGAATCCACAAGACGCGTGTCCTCCAAGTTGACCTTCCACTATCCTAAGAAGTGGACCCCACAATGAGAGAATTTCCCCCACCAATCCAAGTAGGCAAGTAGCCTCATTTGGACGCAGTGAAGAATATATCCCTTCCTGTGGGTGGGTCCCGAGCCCCACTAAAAAGGGCATCTTTGCAAATTCGTTGGATTGCAGTGGCGAATATTTTCCCACTAGTTTTTGTTCTACCCAGACTAGTGAAACCTTTACAAAATTGTATTGTTAGTTACCTATAATGTCCAGCCAATTATATATTTTATTTTCAAAGTATATTATGTACTTGATGTATATTTGTTCTAAAAGAACACGTCTTTTCTTTGTTAACTTTTCAATCAATAATAAAAATTTGTTAAATAATTATAACATGCTACATAAACAATATCAACTATTACAGTAAAAGGTTGTTTTTGTTTCTTTCAATTAATAAGTTACATTTGAATGAGATAATTACAGGTCGAATAATCTAGAATAATTATTTATTACTTATGATATAATCATAAAATTTATTATAAAAAATTTAATACTACTTTCAAATAAATAAAAAATTATTTATAATAGATATTTTAATATTAATATGTAAAATTGTGATACTATTTAAAAAAAAAAATTAATACTAATAACAAATATTGTAATATTTATAACTGAAATTGTGGTACTTATAAAGTGTAATTAGAATTGCTAATATAAATATTGTAATACTTATAATTCTAATATAAATATTGTAATATTTATATGTAAAAAATGCTATTTATAAACGAAATTATAATATTTATTTTAGAAAATTTAATATTAATTTTAATTAAAAATAAATCATTACTTATTATAGATACTGTAATATTTATATGTGAAATTGTGATACTTTATACTATTTAGGTTAAAATTTATTGTCACTAATACTAAATATTGTAATACTTATACCTAAAATTATGATACTTACTACAACCTATCCTGTCTCATAGACAAAAATTCGTCAAATTGTCTCACACATATTTTTGTCTTAATTAATAAATAAATCAGATATATCATATAAGTATCCATATTAATTTTTTTACTATTATATGTAACCGTCATTATAGTGAGAGGCAATAAAAAAAATCAGATATATCATAAAATATTTTTTTTTTTTTTGAAAAATACGCCATCAGTCAGAGCCGTTAAGAAAGTTGAATTTTCAGAACACATGTCCATACAAGACACAAGTTGTAGTACCACGGAAGACGTACCATAAAATTTTCCCCAAAAGAATAATAAATTACACAAAAACCAAGATACCTGCCATAACAATTTAGGGTTTGCATAACAAAATTAACAATATTAATTTCAAACATTCTTATTATTTATTCTCCACAAACTTTTACTGTATTTGTATTTTTTATTTTTAGAATATACACACACACACACAAATAAATAAAAAAAGGGTGAAAATTCCTTGTAAATAATGAAACTATTCTACTTACAAAAATAAAATAAAAATACTACCACTTATAAACATAGTAGAATTTCCCATTTATATCAAATTTTATTTAGTTAACTTATATACTAATTATTACTTAATTCACAAATAATCAAATATATAGAAAAGAACTTTTGAGAATAAGATTTGTTGTATCTGGTGCCATAATATCAATATAACTACTACGCACCCGTTCAGTACAAACATATAGTTAAAATTAATTAATTATTAATTTAAAATAAAGTAAAAGAAAAGAGGTAATTAAGTGGGTGAATTATAATCAGATTACAAAACTAAGATTCCCAGCCAGTAATAATTTAGAAGGAATATAACTGAATAAATATACTCTTCATAAAATTAATTCAAGCAATTTTTTTTTCTTTTTTCTTTTCAGTAATGAAAAGGAAGCTCAGCTTTAGCAGTTAGAAAAAGTAAAAGCGGAGCAAGTAGCAGCAGAGAGAGCGAATGGAGATTTTCCGATTTTATCAAAAACGAAGCCGGGAACCCTATGATCGATCGAGCGGTGGTTTATTGGTATAGAAGGTCATCCGTTGGATCCTCGAAATCTCAAATACAAGAAGAACAATAAACAGAAACCAAACGATAATCGAAGAGAAGAAGAGCAAGAGAGAGAGAGAAGGTTACCAGATCAACAGTCTCATTCTTGATCTCTTCAAGGCTGAGAGACTTGTCTCCTCCCATTTTTGGTGATCAAAACAGCGCAGAAACGAATCCAAGCAAAAACTCTCTCTCTCTCTCTCTCTATATATATATATTTTAATTTTTTTTCTTGGGAAGAAAGCTAAAGGGAGAGGTGTTAGTGATTCATTGAAGGGAGAATTTGTATCCCAGTAAGAGACTATACTAGACGGAAGAGAGAATTGAAGTAGAAAAAGAGAAATAGTTTTATGTTGGGAGATGGGTGAAGAAGAATGAAGTAAGGGTGCGAAGGCCTCCTTTTATTAGGCAAAGGAAGGAAATCTTAACCCCAACGGCCCCCTACGGCCTACCCCACTCCCACCCGTCTACGGAGTATCTCACTTTTTTCTTTTATTTTCATATTTATATTTTCTGCAACACATTCATTTGTCTTAATGGCTTCAAAGAAAGTGAAGTAAAAAATGGAAAATATTACAAATGAATAAAGAAAAAGAATAATGACCTTTTGTTTTTGGTACAAAAAATTGCACCAAAGATAAGATACAAAATAGAGGATGGACCATACGCTTTAAAAAAGAAAAAAAAAATTATATTCAAATTGATAGATCATACCACGAGACCACGAGTTATATCGTAAGGCTATAAATTTTTACCTCTGTACGGGCTTAGTTTATTGGTTCAATAGACAATATTTTAGAGAAAAGATCAATGTTTGAACTTGAACAGATTTGACATTTGGCAATGTCTGTTGAGCTAGTGAATTACCTCGGAGTTGTGGATTCAACCTTTTGGGAGAATGTCATAAATTATAATGTCTAATGGATAATATTATTTATGGTGAAATATAATTTATGCTAAAATAAATGTTTAATGTGAGTTGGTAACATGTAAAATAATTTATAAGGATATGAATATATTAGTTTTTTGTTTAATTAATTTTAAAGTATTTTATTTTTAAATATAAATTTTATAATAATTTCTTTAAAATTATTACAAGAAGAATGAAGTCTAGTGGGAACTTTGCCAAGAATGAGGTCAAACTGATAGGCAGCCGCTCTAGTCAAAGTATGAGTAACTCGATTCTCTAATTTCCTAACATGATAATAGAAAACAGTTTTGAAAGATAACATAAGATTGGCACATGAATAAAAAAATGTGACTTGAATGAGACCGATCATAAACTCTCTTCGACAAGCCGCTAACAACTAACTACCATGAAATCTGACTACAACCAAACCCTTTCATCAATGCCTCGATCCTTCAGCCACGAGAGAGCTTCTTTACAAGACAAGGCCTCCGCCATGAGAAGAACCTGGGGGCAACACATGAAGTCGTTCACTGTAGCAACAGAGTGCTCGTTGTCGGTGAAGAGGACAACGCCATATGCCACCTGTGCTCCCTGGGAGAAAAGGGTCACATCAACCTGACAAAATAGGTCGAATATATGATAATTGCTTGTTACTTATGATAGAAATCATATATTAATACTTATTACAAAAAAAAAAAAAAATTAATACCAATTTGAATTAAAATAAATTGTTACTTATATATCATATATATTGTAATACTTATTATATATGAAATTGTGGTACTATTTATGATAAAATTGATTGTTATTGATGATAAATATTGTAATACTTATAGCTAAAATTGTGATACTTACACACCAGTTGTCTACAATTCGACCCGTTTCACGGACTCCCGCCTCGCGGATAAGGATCCGTAAAATACTCTAACACAAGTTTTTGTCTATTCTTCTGGTTTGATTGTCAATTCTTTTTTTAATTATTATTAGTATTTTCACCCGTGCGTTGCACAGAATGGATTTATTATAATACTTTAAGAATATTTGGATCGATATACAAATATATATTATAACAACGAATATTATATAGTGCAGTTGATGAAATGAGTTGTATCGATTATGTTTTCTGATGTTATCCTTACTTGAATTCGAGCAAATAATTACCCAATTACCCGTGCGATGCACAGATAAAATTTTTTATTATATATTTAGATAATAAAATTAAAGATGAAATTATAAACAATTCTAATGTTGAACCAACATCGGGGCCCATGAAAGCTTTGTCGGGGTCTTCAACAATAGGGAAAGAATGCCTATCATAATCAAGAAACATGACAATCTTCTTCCCTTTGGAGGAATTTACTATATCATCAAACATGCTTATAACAGAGGGACGACTCAATTGTTCCTTCCCAAAAAAAAAAAAAAGAAACTTAATCCTTAAAGTCTGCTAATTAAATTGCGAGGTGAGGAAGCTAGGGAGTATATATGAATTCTGAGATCAGACTCATGATCTAAGACTTGTTAGCATTGTCAGATTCAAAGGATCTTCGGGTTGGCAAGGAATCCCTCATGAATTCGAACAATGCATTGATCCGGCAGGGGCGGGGAATGGAAATAAAACTCCCCGCTCCGGCGGGCTGCGACTTCGTCACCGCGTGTGGGAACAACGACGGCTCTAGCACCACCACCCTTATGACAGTGACTGTGGATTTCGGTCGAAAAGCACCACATTCTAATTAGTCATTTTTCTCTTGTCTTGGGTCAACATCGATTTACAAATATAAATTATAACAACGAATATTATATAGTGCACTTGTTGAAATGGGTTGGATCGATTATATTTTCTAATGTTATCCTTGCTTGAATTCAAGTAAATAATTGCCAAATTACCCGTGTGATGCACGAGTAAATTTTTTTATTATATATTTAGATAATAAAATTAAAGATGAAATTATAAACAATTCTAATATTTGAAAGTGTGCATTTATTTGATTATAAGATTAGTGCAAAAGTATCACTCAATTAATTGAATAATATATGACTCGTTTGTCTGTAAATATCTTAAGTGTTAAGCTTGAAGGAAACTCAATGTCCATACAGAACAGACACCTCAACCACACAAATTATAATCAATGAGTTTCCAATATTAGAATAGGAATGTTAATGTAGAATTATAGTACGAATAAAAAAGTAGGAAAGAATATATTCTATTAGGAATTGTATTACACTATTTTACAATATTAGAATAGAAATTTTTATGTAGCATTATAGTACGAATATGAAAGTAGAAAATAATATATTAAAATTTGAGGATTTTGGGCGAGAAATTAAGTTGAGGATTTTGTTTGTATAGATAGTATAGATTATTATTATTATTATTATTATTATTATTATTATTATTATTATTATTATTATTGGTGTAAAATCAATATTGAAATTATTATTTTCTGTGTAAATAATAATTAATAAAATATTATTTTCTTATAAAATTACACAGAATTTCTAATGAATTTTTCATTTATTACGCAGAATTTGTTTCCATTATTCTCACAATTATAATGGTTTAATTATTCCTAGAATTTGGTAACCACTTTTCATTTTAAGTATATATATATATATATTGACTTTAATTTGTGGTAACAATTTATTAGATATTAATTAATTTTCATATAAAATTTTGTTACCAATCATATTAAGCTTTATTAATTTTCTTACCAATTAATTAATATTCATATTAGTTTGAACGGGAAAGTTGAAGATGGTGATTTTACTTTTATTAATAGTATAGATTATTATTATTAAGATTGGTAATTTTAATCTAGAATTGTATTAGGAATAAGAAAGTAGGAAAGAATATATTATATTATGAATTGTATTACCATATTTTAATGTGCAATTGTAGTACGAATAGGAATTGTATTATCATATTTTTACAATATTGCGCAAACCTTAATAGGGCATTTGGTTGGAGGGATTTTAAATTCCCTTCCCACTTAATTCCCACCTAATTCCAAAGGCCATTAAATTCCGTAGTTTGGTTGGAGGGAATTGCAATTCCATGTAATTGCAATTTCCCCATTTTCATGGAATTAAAATCCCATGTCCCCCCCTGGAATTTTAATTCCTGGGAAAAAAGATAGTGGTGAGTCAAAATTACCCCTTCCTTTTTTAACTTAAAATTAATGTCTAACAACAATAATGGACATTTTTGACTTTATACTACTTATTCCTTTTCAATTCCCATGTATACCAAACATTGGAATTGAAATTCCTAATAATTCTATTCCTGTCAACCAAACACTGGAATTTAAATTCCCACTTTATTCCCAGTAATTCAACTCCCATGGAATTACAATTCCTTTCCCACATAATTCCACCCTCCAACCAAACGCCCTGTAATAGTATAGAAGTCTTTTGTGCAGGAAGTTAAATTGAGGATTTTGTTTTTATATATAGTATAGATTTGAGTAGTGACGAAATAATATTGTTGAATAGGAATATGAATAATAATATTGTTGAATTGGAGTAGTGATGAAATAATTTTATTATTTTATTTGCAAAAAAAATGCTATCATGCCTTCTGATTTATAATGATTAACATGTAATATAGTTACATTATATGGAGTGTTTTCATAATTTTTCAATTTTAATATTGTTGTATTATATTACGAATAGAAATTTTAATGTAGAATTGTAGTACGAACAGGAAAGTAGCAAATAATATATTCTATTAGGAATTGTATTACATTATTTTACAATATTAGAATAGAAATTTTAATGTAGAATTGTAGTACGAATAGGAAAGTAAGAAACAATATATTCTATTAGGAATTGTGTTACACTGTTTTACAATATTATGCAAACCCATAGTATATGACTGTTTTGGAGAGAAGTTAAAATGGAGAATTTTGTTTTTATTAGTGTTATATATTTTTGTTATTGTTGTGGACCAACTGAATTGTCACATACATACGGAGCAAAAAGGTTTTAGATTTTACATATTTAATTATTATATAAATATAAATTATTTTGTAAATATAAATTAGTATTATAAGTTAGTTGGAGAACTAGTCTTTTTTTAAAAAAAATTACTACTTTTAGCATTTTGGCCTCAACTAGCTAATGCAATTTATTAAAAATTAGTTTTATCAATTTGATTTCTTTTTAAAAAAAAACTTTTTTTTTTTATTTGGTTTGAATATGAGTGTAATACATGCATATCAAATTAATATCTAATTATAATATTTGCTTTTCCTACCATGGTTTCAAAAGTCCAAATATTACATTAAAATTAGAATTAATGCATGTAATGCAAACCACATCCAAATATTTTTAAGTAGAATTACATTAAGAGGGAGTTTAGAACTTTTTCATCAATTAAATTCATGAGTGTTATAAATATTATTATTATTATGGTCATTATCACAAGACCTTTCATTTGCCTTATATTTATTCCATTATTTATGTTATAG